AGCTGTCCACTGTTACCACCCCTATTTAATACAGTTGTGGAAACACAAGCCAGAGCAATTAGACCAGAAAAAGAAAAAAAGAAAGAAAGAAAGAAAGAAAGAAAGAAAGAAAGAAAGAAAGAAAAAAAGGAGTAAGGACAGAAAAGGAAGAAGTTGAATTATTATTTGTGGAAGATATGATACTCTACATAAAAGATACAAAAGTTCCACCAAAGATTTCTACATTTAATAACCAAATTCAGTAGTGTCGATGGCTAGTCAACACCCCCAAATCAATAGCATTCTATACACTAATAACAAATGAACTGAGAAGAAATTAGGGAAGCACCTTTCACAATAGCACCTAAAAAATGAATTACTTAGGAATCAATCTAACAAAGGAAGAAAAAAACTCTACACTGAAAATTACAGTATTAAGCGCTGGTGAAATAGGTCAGCAGACCAAGCACCTGCACAGGCAAGTGCAGGGACTGGGGTTCAATCCCTGACACCACTTGCCACACTGGCCCTGGACCCCGGTGTGCTGAGCTGGCCACTAATTCCGGGTGTGGTGGTGCATGCCTATAACCCCAGAGATGGGGAGGTTAAGACAGGAGGATCATGACGAGTTTGAGCTGCATAATGAGATGCCGAACCAAATAAATTTTATTTTTTTAATTTTTTTATTTATTTATTTTTTTAAATTATTTTTATTTTTATTTATGTGTGGCCAGCTCAGCCCACCAGGGGGCGGGCTGGCTGGCATGTGGTGCTGGGGGATGGAACCGTGGTACCTGTGCTTTGCTAAGCTTGTTCTAAGTAGGTACTTTAGACCACTGAGCCATCTCACCAGCCCCACCAAATAAATTTTTTTAAAAAAGGAAAATTACAGTATTCTGTAATATTAATATCTGATTAAACAAAGGGTCATGGTTTTAATTTTTTGTAAGCACTTAGGCTATAGATAGCTTTTGTGAAAGATTAAAAATACTACCACCATTTGAGATGCAAACTGAAACAACACTGAGATTTCATCTGGCTCTAGAAATCATGACTAGTACCAAGAAATTAACCAACACCACATGCAGATGTGGGGATAAAGGAACTCTTCTCCACTGTGGGTGGGAGTGTACACTGGCAACAGCTTACCTCCACAGTGGTAAAACCACTGTGGAGATTCCTCAAAACACTACAACTGAGATCCCATTTGACCCAGCTATTCCCTCTCTGGGTATCATCCCATAAGAATTAAAAACATCACAGCGACACACGCACACCCATGTTTATAGCAGCACAGTTTGTAACAGCCAGATCTTGTCAACAACTCAAATGCTCATCAGCTGAATGGACAAAAAAGATGTGGGTTTTTATACAATGGAGTACTACTCAGCTATAAAGAAGGACAAACTTGAAACATTTCTAAGCAACTGGATGCTCGTTGAGACCATACTCTCAAGTGAAATAAACTGCTCACATGTGTGTACACATTGCACTGTCTCTAAGGTGATGCACAAGGGGAAATAAGGACCAAAGCGAATAAAATATACTGTGAAACAGAAGAAACTGTTCAGAACAAAGGGGAACTTGGGAGGGTAGAAGGGGAAGGGAGGAAAGGCGGGGAAAAGAAAACAGTAAAAGAAGGATGAAATGGAAACAAAACTTATGTAAACGGGGAGAGGAAGAAGTGTTGAAGGGAGGGGAGGGAGTTGGGGGAAAAAGGGACCAGGTTATATACCATGTATAGGTACAAATTCCCTGAGGTGAATGTGGTCATTATGTCTCACTAAATTGTACCAATAAACTTTTTTTTTTTTTTTTAATATTTATTTATTTTTATTTATTACATTTATTTATTGTGTGTGTGTGTGTGTGTGGCCAGCTCAGCCCACCAGGGGGCGCGGCTGGCATGTGGTGCTGGAGGATCGAACCGAGGTCCCTGTGCTTTGCCAAGCTTGTTTCAAGTAGGTGCCCTAGACCACCGAGCCATCTCGCCAGCCCTGTACCAATAAACTTGATAAGAAAAACCCAACAAGCTCTTGTGGTAGGTTACAGATGATACTGCTAGTATTTTCTTTTTTACCTGAATCTTTATTCCTCCAGCTTTGCTTGTAATATTAATGGTTATTTCTTCTTCTTCCTCCAGAAATTTCTGACAATATTCTGAGTCTTTCTCGAGTACAAATCCTGTTTCTTCTATTATATCTTCCAGATGAAAAACCTACATAGAGTGAGGCATGTAAGTAGACAAGCCCAAATTCATTTCAGTAAGTATTACTTTAAAGAGAACAGGGAATTAATGTTTTTTGAATGATGCCTAACTAATTTAGAAGATTAAGAGAAAACTTTTTTAGTATTCTTTCAGAAGTGAAGAACCTGGTTGACATAAGTGGGCCTGCTGCTAAAGACTCAGGAGAAACTACATTGTGGTCTTAAGAAAATACAACAGTAAGGACCGGGGAGATGGCTCAGTGGAATAAGCGCTTCCCTGGCAAGCGCAAGGGTCTGAGTTCAATCCCCAGTTCCACAAAAAAAAAAAAAAAAGAAAGAAAAAAACAACAGTATACTGAACTAAAAAGCATTAACGATAGAAAGCTTTGAGGCCCTGCCCTCCACGTGAGGGCGGGTGAGAAAGGTCGCCCTCCTGCCAGGCAGCCACTCTCAATCTGGATATCCCGACTCTGGCATGAGCGCGCCGTCGCCCCCCACCGAGCTCTGCTGTCACAACTACTAACGGCCTACCCCACCAACCTGCGGGCACAGCAGCGCCGGGTATGCGACCCCCTGGCCATCTCCAGGTCCTCTCTTGATACACGGAATGCTAGGACTCGTTCCGGGCTCAGAGTCTAAGCACCTGTCTCCTGGGGAAACTGGGGTGAATGTAGCTCAGTGTGCTAACAACTCACCTCAACGGGGAAACTTCTTCCGGAAATTCTGAGAATGGGACAATGTGTGAAATACGTAGAAAACTTTTCACTGTCTACAGTGGCACTCATCAGAATCAAGTGCAGATCAGAACGCTTCTGGAGAATTTCTTTCAGGATACTCAGCAGGAAATCTGACTGGACACTTCTCTCATGAACCTATAATGCAAAGGCGATACGAAAGTTCACCACCTATGAGGTCCAGCAAGAGGATGAAATAATATGACACCCAAATGTACCGGAAGTTCACCAATATTTCAGTGTAGAGTCAGTGCATGTGGAGGGGGGGATCTGCATGCTTCAAACAAGGCAGAACTTCAGAATAAGGATAAAGTCATTCTTTAAAATTGAAACTGGTAAAAACTGGCATATAATAAATACCATTACCCGTAATAATAGAACTCCAACTTAAGAGATGGTTTATAATCAGAGCAGATGTAGCTCATAATATTAGGTTATCGCCCAATTTCCCTCCTAACCCCTGCCACTAATATAAAATTATGTAAGACAAACAATGTATCCACTATGTAGACAAAAGGGAGTAGATTAGTAGAATCTGCTAGGGTCACTATCATCCTCCAAAGAGGGTGGGGAGGAGGCTTTGTCCCCTTCCCACAGATGTATCTCAGGAAAGAGGAGCAGCGTATACCTGTTAAGAGACCACAGAAGAGGTGCTCTGTCAGAATTAAATACCTGCTGAATGTACAGGTCTATCTTATAACCTTCTGTGTCTTATTCCTATCTCGTTTTATTCTGTAACAGATGGACGGCAGCGTACAAGACGAAGTATATCAAGATAACACACAGGTTTCATCATTTGCTGGCTGGAAAGTGTTCAGTACCTGGCAGTGATTACTTGAGTTCGATTCTTAGCTTGGCCTCTTACGAGTATGATTTTGGAAAAGTTATTTAAGTATATCTAGATCAATCTCCCTTTCTATAAAAGGAAAATACAAGTAATAATCAAATGAGATAATGCAAAGCTTTAAAACAGGGTGTACAAAACTGAAAGTGCTCAGCATTGTTGGCTGCTAAGGACTGCGAGTTACCAAGGACAGTTCTCTTCATTTGAGAGCTGTCAGTCCAGCAGAAGACACTGCGCCTTCCTTGGACACTGTCTGCTGTACATATGCCTTCCTTGTGCAGTGGAAACTGTAAGTTACTTAGGATGAGTAGCTGAGCCAGGTCATTAGGATGGCTACTAAGAGAGACTCCCAGTAATCCTGAGAAGTGAAAGATGAATTTGAAAAAGAAGAGAAGACCAGGGAGCTAGCTCAGTGGTCTAAGCGCCTGCCTGGCAAGCGCAAGAACTTGGGTTTGATTCCCGGCACTGCATGCTGTCCCAGCCCCCGAAACCAGGTGTGGTGGTGCATGTCTGTAATTCCAGTGCTGGGGAGGCTGAGACAGGAGGATCACTACAAGTCCAAGCTGTGTAGCGAGACCCTGTACCAAATAAATAAATAAACAAACAAACAAACAAACAAAAATACATGATTTTAAATGTTTTTTTAAAAAGAAAGAAAAAAGATGCCTGATGAGAAAGGGAGGAAGAACTGTTCAGGTCAAGGGACCACATGTGTATAAAATCACAGTGGGTATGTGAGGCTCTGGGTCAGCCCCATCACCCCCCAAACCAACCAAACAAAAATAATCACAGTACAAAGGGGCATCACAACATATTTGAGGAATCTGAAAACAATGATTTGAGAACAGGATGCGAGATAGACGAGAGATAAAAACTGCAGATACTTAGTAAGCCTTTGTCAGCCAGGTTAAGGAGCTGAGAGTTTATCCTAATGAACCAAGAAGTCCCTGGGGTAAATGAAGGCGCTGGAAAGTGGGAAAGAAAACAGCATGGCCTGGCTTTTATCTTAAAGGAATGCTCCGGCTCTAACGTGGAGAATTTAATTCACAAGAGGCGATCTGGGCATGGAGGCACCGCCTGTAGTCCCAGTACGCAGGAGGCTGAGGCAGGACTGCCACTGAGTTCGAGGTCAGTCTGTGCTCTATAGTGAGTTCAAGGCCGGCCTGAACTATTATATAAAAAATAAATAAATACAAATAAAAATTAATTTATGAAAGACTTTTACAATAATTAAAGAGATATTGGTAGGTTCTCCAACTACTAGATATCTTTAGTTTCTGCAACTATAAATTCATCATCTTAAAAAATTATTTCCCCCCATTCCTTTTCACTTCTGAATCTCAAGTCAAGGACCCCAAAACCTACCTAGCCAAACCACCAAAGCAAAACACCAGACATTTCTTGGTTTTTCTCCCACATCCCCTAAATAAGTCACCTTGTCATGTATATTGTCCCTGTCTCAAACTCATTCACGTTTCTCCAAATGCAGCCTGGCTTTATCAGGGGATT